TGAAAACGGCTGTGTATGTGAAGGCAACTTGCGAACAAGCCCAATGACTTGAGTTTGATTCTTGGACCCTGCACTGTATAAGTTAAGTTGTCCTCTGACTTCCACATGTGCCCCTAGACATATGAGCATGCATGTGCACTTGAAGACACATTCACCTAATAAATAACTTTTTATTTCTAATTTTTTTGGAATTAAAATATGATTCCATCATGTCCTTCCTTCACTTTTCTCCCTCTAGCCCTTCCCATGCCCGCCCCACCCCATTCCACCACTACTCTCTCTCAAATTCATAGCTTCCTTTTCTTTAATTCTTCTGCATTCCTCAATATAGTAAGTATACCCATTTTGATCTGTTTGGTGTGACTTGTATGTATCTGACTGCAGTGGCTGACTGATTCGTGTCAGATAACTAATTAGGGGCTCATCCCTAGGGAAGACTCTTTCTGCCACTCTTAGCATTAGTGGCCTGTAGTTTTTGTTTATGACTGAGCATCTATGTTCGGTGGTTTTTGCTTTTGCTTAGGTTTTGTTCAGGCATTGAGATATCATGGATGAAGCTTCCCTGTCATTTCTAGAGGATACAATCTAACAGCAGATTTCGTGATCCTCTGGTTCTTACAATCTGTCTGCCCTCTTCTACAAGATGCCCTGAGCCTTAAGTGCAGGAGTTGTGTCATAGAGGTATCCACTGGTGCTGGGTACCCCACAATCAGTTCTTCTTTGCATTTTGACCAGTTTTTTTGTTTTTGTTTGGTTTGGTTTCCATCTGTTGCAAAGGGAAATTTCTTTGATGAGAAGAGAGAGCCACAATTATCTGTGGATATAAGGATAAGACATTAGAATGCAGTTGGCTATTAGGCTGCTTTAGCCAGGTAGCAGTATAGGGTTCTCCTTTAAGAGCCGTGACCTCACTAGCCCTGGACATTTGGATCGCTTTCTAGTAACATGCACATCACCTGTATGCTGCTATTCCTCCTATCCAGACCCCCCCCCCCAAGTCATGGTTCCCCCTCTCTTTTCTGATTTCTACTATCATTATTCGGGGTTATATATTCAAATCTGAAGATTTGGAGCTAGGAACTGCAGCTGAGAGAGAACATGTGGCAGTTGTTTTTCTGGATCTGGATTACCTCACTCAGTATGATGTTTCTGGTACCACCTATTTACCCATTGGTGAAATTATTAAGGCCACTCCATGTAGTTAAAAGGGAGGTTTATTTAGTGGCGTAACTTACAAATGAAGGGATAGGTAGGTTGCAGGGTCTAGGAAAGGCGTGGCACAGTCCGGCAGTGTTCTCTGGAGAACTCTGCTCAGTCTACCTCCAGTGTCCAGGGTCCAGGAACCAAGAGAGCCAGCGCATCCAGATCTCAGGTCTTCAGGGTCCTCTCTTGGCCCCGCCTTGTAGGCGTGACAGTTACTGAAGCCTCAATGGGGGTTGGAACTTCCAGATCAAAGCTGGAATGGCTACCCACTACATTTACCTATACATTTCATGATTTTGTTTTTCTTTACAGCTGAGTAGTATTCCATTGTGTATATCTGTCACGTTTTCGTTATCCCAGCCTGCTTGAAGGACATTAGGTTCATTTCCTAGCTTTTGTGACTAGAGCAGCTTTGATCACTGCTAGGCAAGTCTCAGGGGAGTCTGTTGAGTCCTTTGGGCATATGCCTAGGAGTGGTACAGCTGTGTCATATAGTAGATTTTAAATAGCTAGCTTTTTAAAATAAATAAAAATAAAAGAACTCCTTATCTGAAATTCTGCAGAGGTGGGTAAATGCACCTCCTTCAGACACCCATTTAGTTTTCCTGCCTCAAGCATTGAGCATCCCTAGCTGTGGGTCCACGTACCTTGTCGTACCTTGTCTTGTGTTTCCCTTACCATCCAGTCCCGCCTTTTCAGTGGTCGTGATGAACAGGTTACTACACACTTCCAACCAGGGGCTCTTGCCTCTGATCCACTCATGTGGCCTCTGCCCTAATCAACTCTGGCACACAAATGCTGCCTGGTGCTCGGCTACCTCCATGCTCAGATGTAACCAAATCCTGGTTTTCTGACTGCCTCAAACAAACTGCAGGAGGTACAAATGAAGCCATCTGAGATACTCCAGGAAAGTCCCTTTCAGCTGCACTCAGAAGGAAAGCATGAGCATCTGCAGGGGATGATGTGGAAATCAATTCTCATGCCACCTCTGTCCTGGAAATCCTGTCCAATCATGAGGCTCATCTTGGCCTTTCCTCTTTTTCTTCTGAACTAAAGTTGGGACATGAGAACCAGTTCTGAGTTCTCTCTCTCTCTCTCTCTCTCTCTCTCTCTCTCTCTCTCTCTCTCACACACACACACACACACACACACACACACACACACACACACTTGTCTTGAGAATTTTACAGTTAATTTTGTAACATAAAAAACACTTTTTTGAACTTATATTAATCACCTTAAATGCTCAGCTGAAAGTGAAACAAAAAGAATCAGTCTTCACATGTTAGAACATTCACACATCAGTTGCATATTATGAATTGTAAGATTATTTTAAGCACATAATGCTTGATACATGTCTACTAACTTCAAATAATAATTGAAGGCCCCATTGCAATTCTACAGGGAGATAAAACTCAGTAGTGAGCCACAGCTGGACTTTGCAACTCGCTTTCTAGAGCTATAATGAGCCAATACTCCTAAATTCAGCAAGTGTAATGAAAAGTATGGATTCTGGAGACAAAGAGTCTGGGGTTGAATCTCAGTGTTTCTTGCTTAAATGTGTGATCTTAGCTGGCACGTAAGATCTTGCATATGTGTTTAGCCATTAAGAAGAGAAACTCATAGTCAAAGTAGCTAGAATCATTTTAACAGTTGCATTAACTTTTAACATAGAGTTTGCACTCGGTCTTATTTTTATTTTCCACTATATTTCTCACTAGCTTTTCAAATATATGTCATGGCAAGGCATTTCAATGTCTGGAATAATTCAGGTGTTGAACAGGAGATATCTAATAAAAATGGGACTTTTATTGAAGGGCTCTGGAAAGATTTTGGTTTTAATCATTTTTATACTAGATATTTTAGTGAGCACTTGTTGTTTCATTATTTTAGCAAAATTCCCATCAGGCCATTTTAATAAATTTCTTAGTGAAGTATTTATGCATATTTAATATACTTAAATAAACAAATATATTTGAGTACAAACGTATACATAACCTTAACACATATAACTCCAGAGGACATCGTAAGAGTTGAGTTTAAGTGATGTGCTGTTTTCCGTGATTAACAAATACATGGACATTATCATAAAAGGAATGTGCTGGGAATGCTCTAGGTAGATTGCTCAGGCTCCAGCGGTGATCCTACCGCCGTGTGCAGATAGGCAAAAGTAATTAGACCCAGTGGGTTTTTAACATATATAAATAAGAAGACATGAATTTGGGTGGAGAGAGATTGGGGAGGGAGAAGTTTGGAGAGGAGTAGTGTAGGAAGGAAGAGTGGGTATGAGCAAAGTTCACTGTATACATATCTGGAATTCTCAAGAAATAAATACAGAATGCAAAATTTATATTAGGTCATGAGCATTTTCAACACATAAAGGTTCAGAAAAAGAAAAGAAATGTGGCATTTTAACATGAAATTGTTTATTGTTTATCAAGCCAAAAATAAAATAAAAAATTTAAAGATCAGAGTAAATAATAAAAGATCCTTTATGCACAACAAACACAGGAGGCATGGAGAATTTCAATGTATTTAGAAGGGTTACAAACAACATCTTAGAGATTTTCCTTAAATTAATCTAGTTTTATTTGAGAGTTTGTATATTTTATATATATAAAAGATTGCCTATTATAAGCTGATGGTATCATCCTGCTGCCTAGTTTAATAGTGAGAACCCAGCCAAAGTCCAAAGTTATGTGGTCCAAACCTTAGGCTTCTCATTTGTGATTTAAATTTTCTTCAGGGATGCTTGGCTGTGTGTCCTTTACAACCATCTTTCTCCCATGATGTTTCTCTCCACTGAGGCTTTGTGAAAGGCAAGCCACAGACATGAGCTGATGGACCCTGACAAGGGCCTGCAGCGCAGGTATCCTGCGCTACTGATTAAATGAAAATCCACACGCTTTAAAAATCAGGTCAGCTCGTGGTAGGGATGACAGCCGTGCTGTTAGAGAACGCTTCTCAGAGGTCGAGGACAGAGGCACATGTTTCTCTTGGCACGTTAGGTGCTGACATTCTGAAGTTAACAGCCACAACTTTACCCTTAGACTGATTTTTAATACTGCCTTGCATAATTCAGAGAGAGAGAGAGTTAATTTTAGATAATTATGCTAGCTCGATTTTAGCTAAGATGTAACCTAAAAAACGAGGGAATCAGATCTTAGTCCCAGCTTGTCTTTACTAAGTTGTGTGTCCTTGAACAAGATATTGCAGCTTCATGTCATAGTTTCATTATCTGCAAGATAAAGGCAATGAGTATGGTTTAAGCTGCTAACATCTGGATGGTCTGATAACTAATGACTAAGAAAATCATTTTAGTGAATGCCTTTTTCTCTGCCCATCCCTGTTACAGCGATATCTTGTATAGTGAGCATCTGTCATTTGGCTCTAAACAGATCTCATTTCTCTGATTTCACTCATTATTAAAAAGGAGGGTTTCAAGCCTTGTTTTTCTTGTGAAATTGGAAGATTAGATAAAAGGAGAGCATTAGAGTGCATGCCCTAAAGCCGGCGGCTGTGCACCTTCTCAGTGGCGGCCCCCAGGAAAAAGGCAGTTCAACTCCCTTGCAAGTGTGTCTTTGAGAATATCAATTACCATGAAAGAGATGTCACAGATTTACCCAAATGTCAAGATCCTGAATCTATTGCTTGTAATTTGTCAGAAATAAAATCCGAGGGAAGCAGCTGTTGTCCAAAGCATATTCTTGAACAACGCCTGCTATGTAATTTTTGTTTTATCAAATGTTGAATAATCAATTGATTTAATAAGACCTTATCCCCATTCTTCCTAACAGCACCAAGGAAAAATTGGAGTTAAGTTTAATGTTGGGACCGATGACATCGCCATTGAAGAATCCAATGCAATCATTAATGATGGGAAATACCATGTCGTGCGTTTCACGAGGAGTGGTGGTAATGCCACGTTACAGGTGGACAGCTGGCCCGTCATCGAGCGCTACCCTGCAGGTAAGCAAGTGTTTATGGACGTGGGAACAATTTTGTGAAAAACGACTGGAAAAGCAAAGCAATGTTTGCGTCCGTTTCTTCAAATTGTGGTTTTTCTGAGAAACCATAAAGTATTTATTAGACTTTAGAGTCATGTCAATGTAATGCTGTCCTAAACTGTTCTTGCTACCATGTACAAATGGCATTTTATAGATGAACTTGAAGCCACACGTTACCGTTTGCAAAATCTAGAACATCAGTGCACTAGAAAAATGCACACATGAAAAGGACAATGTGTCAAAGCGTTTTATTGAATCTTTGCATTTGAATAAAGGAAAGGCTTTGTCAAAAGTAACAGATAAAATTTAAATCCAAGGGAAGGAATATTATAACACTCTTTCTGAGAGCAAATAAAGCTGTTCCTTTGACAGTGGCACACAACAGAGACTCATGAAATGTGCAAGAAGAGCAGGAGGCAGGCAGAGATGCAGCCTGGAGTGAGATGACAAGAAATCCACAATTATAAGAAACACTGTACCACAGATCTGCAGCAATGAGTAAAGGGAGTTCATTTCATTTTCATCTAACCATAGTGATTCATGAGGACTCAGAGATGATGGTGTTACTCAGTTGAAGTCTGCAAAATGTTCCTTTTTTGTACACCACACAGTTTATCATATAGTATAAATAAAAAGATAAAACCAATTTACATTTTTCACAATAAAACTAGTAACAATAATGAGTACAGAAGGAACTCCTCTATTGGAATTATTTGCTTCTTAAATAATTTGATTAATTAATTATTAATTAATTAATTTATTCATTAATCACCAGTTTTTTTTCTGGAACTAACCCAAACTGAAGAGAGGAAGCATTCTTGATACTTTTCTGAGCGTTTGCTGAATTATATCATTCTTTATTTTCACAGTTCAGTTCTAATCTGTTCTGTTTTGCAAATACTTGATTAATTAAATGTTGAAAATAACTTCCTTATGACAGAATGTAAAGTCAAGAAAATAAATAGTGGGTCTGGAAGTTATTGTAATATTGACAAGTAGTAAACGTTCAGTGAGGGTTTACCAAGTTGGTATTCTGGAAACCATCGAGAGCACCGTGGTCTGCATAGTGAGTTCCAGGATAGCCAAGGCTACATAGCGAGACCATGTCTCAAATGAGGAGGAGGGGGGAAGGAGGGAGGGAGGGAGGGAGGGATGAAGAGAGGGAGGGAGGGAGGGAGGAAGGAAGGAAGGAAGGGAGAGAGGAAGGGAGGAAGGAAGGGAGGGAAAAGAAGAAAGACATTAGAAGTATATTCAAAGATCAGAAGCTGATAACGCATAATAATTAAGGAACAAATATTTATAAATAGTTGTCTATTATTGTCTAATAGTTGATGTAATAGTTACTATCTATTATATCTCGGCATGTACTCTAGGTGCCCTTTTACTAAGGAGAACTTTAATTAATATTAATAAATGAAGAGTGAGCAAAGTTCCAGTTATTATTGTGAAAGACACATGTAATGGCTGACATATGAAAATATAGCACTCATGAAAAAATGCATATATATTATATGTATAAAAACACCTGAGAAACTGCTGTACATGATAAAATTCTGAATGTATTATGCACATAAGAACTTAATGTTGTAAAGAGCCCAGAGACTTCACCATATGTCATCTACCAGTCCACTAATCATCCCCTCTGTGTACACTTTAGCATGATGTGATGAGGGGAAAAGACACGAGAAGCTCAAACATCCTTTTCTCTTGGTCCTTTATAAGCAACAAAGCCATAGAGGCTGGATATAAATTTCAAAGTGTGAGTGATCAAGATTAAAGTTTTTAGAACAAAGTGATTTTAAATATGAGTTCAATATCATGGTCTAGTATATATCTTTTATATCAGCTTGTGGTTTGGCTATTTTTTATTTTAAAAATTTAGGGAGGTTATTATTCATTAGAAAAGCCACTGGACTAATGCTTTTACCACCAAATCCTATAATCAGAGAAGCAGGAATGGAACCAACAGACTATATTTGCTTTCTTCTAAAGTGCCTGCACTGCAAAATATAAGGGTTGAAATTAGTAATTAAGGATAGCACTTAACCTTCCATTATAGGGCTTTGTGGTAAGTGCTTTTATATGAAGCAATTTATCTGGTAGCGACACTATACCTTTAATGAAAAGCACCTAAAGCATTGAGCAGTGGTATTACCCTGTAATTGTCTGGAAGGCTTTCATAGAGGAACTAATTAGTAGACTAGGTTTTATTCTCTTTTGGAGGAAATGCAATATTCTTACAACCCAACAATTCACATTTAAGAATAAATATTGAAATTTCTGAACATTAAACCCCTTTTCCATTATTTTCTGTGCATGAAAGAAAGTACAGAAATAATATTTTTGCAAACCAGTTAAAGTTGAGAAAATTGTTTCTTATTGTATATCAGTTAAAGCTCTAGAATATAATGCATCATTAATCTCCGATTTGTTCCTAATTACAGTTATGCAGCAAAATATTCTCTCTCATTGAAAACAAACCTCCTCTTAAGTTAATCCACAAAATCTTGCATCATTTTGTTGCCCTCAACTCAAGATTATTCCAATAAACTAGTTACTTTTGAAAATAAAACTTTCATTTGCTACCATAGTATGTGGAAAATACCTTTTATATTGTTATAAAGCTAAAGATTAATTTTTATTTCCATAAATACATCTAGCCTATCTATAAAGGTATAAAGAATGTATACTGTATACAAGGAACATATTAGAATCATGCTTTGGCAACAAGACAATTTTTATTTGTTCAAGATAGTATATGCAACAATATGAAGGTTATGTAATATTTAACTAAGAATACACATTCAAAAGCAAAAAGCAACACAACAGATTCCAAAAAAGATTATTTTTCAGGGAGTAATGTAAGAAACAGTGAACAAAATTTGGGTCTTTACAAGTATGCACTTATTGGGTGTAATTAACAGGTAGAGATATAGAGTGAAAGATATTCATGAACCTGTTAAATAGCTCATTTGCTAAAGAGAAAGGAATAAGAATGAGTGAAAAACAAGCTTGATGAGTATAGAATGCATTGTAAGTACTAGTGAACAATGAAAGAAGAGAGGTTTCCATTTTTCAGTCTCCTCCCCTCCCTTCCCCTCCCTTCTGTTTCCTCTCTCTACCCCATCTATTTCCCTCCCTTCCCTCTTTCTCTTTTCTCCTCTGATAGTTTCTCCTTCTTTTCTTTCCTTTCTCAATTGCTGCCTCTTGCTCTGTCATTTTACTGTTGACATCATTCAGCACCCTAATGTTCCAGTGTTTCACGAGGAGGCAATAGACAGCAAGGAACTGGAAATCTGTGGTAAACAAGGTTCTTGACTGTTGGATTGGCTGGCCTTAGAGACAAGGATATTGGGCACCTACCAAAGTCAAACTTGGGTAGAGTTCAATTGCTATTGGAATTTAAAGAAAGGAGCATCTGAAGGTCTGGAGGGCTGTGACAAAGTCAATCCTTCAGGGACACAAGGACTTGAACGAGAAATAGCTCCAAGGAAGACCTCATGGAGATGATTTGTGTAATTTTTTTCTAGCTATCCACTTTGCTCCAAGTCTTATAGGTTTTAGTGAGACATTTAATCCTTAGTTTATTGACTAAGTCTGATAAAAATCTTTCAGGTCATGGGAAAGCCATACATCATTGCCTTTAAATGCAACCCATTTATTTAGATGAATTGGGTACTCATTTTTTAACTCATATCATCATTAATATATTGATTATTTAAGACAGTTCATTATTTAGTGTTAAAAGTTTGATGATGGGTTTTTTTTTTAAGGTTGTGTTTAACCTAGTTTGGGCTGTGTGTGATATAATTAAGAAAGTCTACTTCATTTGCAGTCATAACAGTTAGAAGAGAAAACAAACTTCCAAGCCCTTCTATTCCAGTTTCTTGATTTTTTTGAAACAACCAAATTTGACCTTGAACAGGCTAACTAATTTTCTGTAGGTCAACCCCTAGTTAATAGCTAAGTCTAAGCTTGACTCTTGTGGGTTGACAGACATTCAAATAACAGAGACCATTGGGTGAAGACTGATGTAGCAGTGGCACAGCCATTAAAGCTGGGGGCCTGACTTTTGTGATTGTCCCTAGTGCATATGCACTCCCCAGTCTGCCATTTCTGGTGACACAGATGTAGACAGAGACTCTGAGAATTACACACTAACATGAGGAATGAGAGCAGCTTTCTTCCAAAAGCCACAGGTACTTGCTTAACACTAACTTTTTGAATCAGTAGCATTCATTAGTAGGCACTGATTATTTTTAAGCTTTACTTGAAAAACTTAATTACTGAATTAGGTAAATCATTACAGATAATTAGAATTAGCACATTATAACCTTTAAGGACTTGGAGGAGAAAAGTCTATCTTAGCAAAAGACTTGTCCCATGTTCTGGTTAATTACATAAACGTGATTAAGTAGTTGTCAACAGATTCTAGAACCTACATTAAACTTCAGTGGGAAAACATTGCCCTTTGTTTGTTAATTTTCACTAAAATATAATTATGGATGTGTTGAGTATTTGTTGTAGTATATCAGTGTTTGGCGTAGTTAAGCATCTATGGGTATAAGTTTTCCACACTTCCTCTTAGGTTCTCTGTGAAACATGAGAACAAGTAGCTAAAACTCTACTTTTTTTTTAAATGTTAAATACCTCTCTTCATAGTGTTCAATTTTGCTAGGACTTTCGGGATATTCTTGATATGAAAGCATAATAAACATTTTATTAAACAATATATTAAATACACTGCCCTAAAGTTTACCAGCTAAGTGTCAAAGATGTCTAAGACTATGAGAGAAAGGGTAAATTTTTGAGGCATTTTAATTGTTCCTACATTTGTTAGGCTCTGGAATATTTCAATATATCAGTTTCCTGCTGCTTTGGGAAATATTAATTGGTTCTAATTTGCTGTTTATTTGTTTATGGAGAAGGTCCTCTGGTGGTTTGATGGGTTTGGGACTCATT